ACGCATGGTCGACGCTAATGGGAGGATGCTCGATAGGAAGTCCATGGGCGAAGATGTTTTTTGGGCCATACGAGGCGGCGGAGGTGCGAGCTTCGGAGTCATAACCGCATGGAAGATCAAGTTAGTAACGGTACCGGAGACTGTCACAATATTTTCTGTTAGCAGGACTTTGCAACAAAATGCAACAGAGCTTGTTCACAAATGGCAATACGTGGCTCCTTTCATGTCCAATGATATGCTACTCGCAATCAATGTTGGTACAATAACTGTCCCCAGCACCGGAGAAAGAACGGTGCAAGCCAGCTTTAATTCGATGTTTCTGGGAAGGATTGATCAATTGCTCGAGTTGTTGCAACAAAGCTTTCCGGAGTTAGGTGTGAGAAGGGAAGATTGTCTTGAAGTTAGCTATATGCAATCTGTACTCTTCAATGGAGGTTACAATGTTCTACAGTCACCGGAGCTCTTAACCAGCAGAAATCCCGAAGTTCCAAGCGCAATTCGAGCCACAAGATTTAGTTTTAAAGCAAAAACTGATTACCTACACAAGCCAATTCCAAAAAGTGGTATCGAAGGTATGTGGAAATTGTTGCTGGAACGTGCACCCGACATGGCAGAACTGTTGATGGTTCCATACGGTGGAAGAATGAATGAAATATCAGAATCGGCAATTCCATTCCCTCATCGAGCTGGAACCCTCTACAAATTCCAACAATTGGCTCATTGGACACGCCCTGAAGAATCTGAAGCATCCTTTAGGTGGGTAAGAAGCTTTTATGGATATTTAACTCCTTTTGCTTCGAAATCTCCTCGCTTGGGCTACCTCAACTATCGGGATCTTGATTTGGGAGTCAACAAGGGCGACAAAACTAGCTATAGAGAAGCTAGTAAATGGGGATTGAGGTACTATAAATCCAACTTCAAAAGATTGGTTCAAGTGAAGACTATGATTGATCCGACTAACTATTTTAGAAATGAGCAAAGCATTCCCGTCCGACGCGCCCGCAAGAATTACTAAGATGAGTTACTACTTCAACGAAGGTGGAACCATCTCTTGGCAAGGATAATCCGACTAACACATTCTTTCATATTTTTATTAAGTTTATTGTATCGATATTTATATTTAGAATCCTTAATTTTATTGTTGTACGATTTATGGGTCTTTTGTGGTGTCAACTATAATGCTAACTTTTATTGATTACAATTGTAATTGATATAATTTTACTTTTCAATATATTCATGTCTATTCATTCCATATTTTATCATATGTTCTTTTAGCAATCTTTTAATTATACTAAAACAATATTATATCTAATGCTTATATTTCATACATAACATGATATCATTATATTATATAATTATCTTATTTAAAAAATATTTTTAAAAATTCTTACAAAATATTAATTAAATACAACCACTATTTAAATATATATATATATATATATTGAAGAAAAAAAATCCAATATAGGGAAAAAAAAAAATCCAACCATGAGGAAACAAATCTAAATCTATTTGTAATGAGAACAAATGCAACAAAGTAATACTCGTTTTGTTTTCATGGATTTGTATATGTGGAATCTCAAATATATTGCTAGCCTTTCGTAAGTCTTACAAGATAAGTATTAGTTTCTACGCCTCAAAAGAATGCAAAATTCAATATCGTGGTGAGTAGGGTTGTCGTTGCCACATGGATGAACAAAGGAATTTAATGACTTTGTTATCTATATTTATATATATATATATATATTCTGGGGGTTTGATTTGTTGCACGAAACGAAACAAAGAAAGAAACAAAATTCAAACAACGAAAGAAAATATATCAAGTTGTAAAGATAAATAAATTCCAATGATGATTGAACTCTAGTGTGGATATGAATTTTCGTTCAAGATATGAAAACTTGTTTATCGACAAATATCACATTTATTGGTTAATTGGATAAATGTATTATAATATTAGTTCCTACACCTCAAACAAATGCAAAATTCAATATAGCGGTGAGTAGGATCATCACTACAAGAATGCGCAAATGATTTAATTACTTGGTTATCTAAATATATTGTGGGGGTTTGATTTGTTGCACTATATAAACAAAGAAAGAAACATAATTCAAACAATAAAAGAATATATATATATATATTAAATTGTAAAGATAAATGAATTCCAATGGTGATTGAACTCTAACCTAAGCATGAATTTTCATTTAGGATATAAAAATTTGTTCAATTGACAAAAATCCACTTTATTGGTTAATTGAATAAATATGTTATTATTTATCTACACACATTCACGGTACAATTGTTAGTTATTTTTCTAAGCGAGTAAAAACCTTAGATATGACCATAGTGGTTATTGACTCGACAACATTGAGATCTAGAAATATCCAATTCAATTTAGCAATATTCCTACGAACATTTATTCAAAAGTGATTTTAATTCCTTATTAAAGTATCTTTCCTTTAAGTAGCTACTTTAATTGAAATATTATACAATTACGGGTGTCAATTTTCAATATAGCTACCAAATCTCAAATTAGTACGTGACTACAAATATTAAATTTAAGACTTCTAATCTTATATGGCAGGGGAATAAAAAATATTCAATACCAATAAATATCAAATTAAAACCAAATCAACGTCTCATAAATTCATAACTCAAATTTCAATTAATACCTAAATTAGAAAACAAGTTTACTCACAATCCATAAAACTCAAAAACACATACAAAAAAATTATCATCTCAATCTTGGGAATTGATAGAGAAATCACGATCTGAAGATGATATAGAAAGCTCCTAGGTGCTCAATGAGTGGATGGTCGATGAAGACATAATTTCTGTGATTCCCTTCCTTCCATGGACGGACTTACATGGGGACAGCTGAGCTCGATTCTCCAAAATTTATGTATTTTTTAGTGTAAAAAATAATAAAATTATATATTTTTTTATTAATTTGGCCCCCTCCCCCGCCCTAATTTTTATTTTAAAGTGTAAAAAATAATAAAAATTATGCTTATTTGTTGATTTACACTTTTAAAATTTAATTTTTTTAGTAAATAATATTAAATTATATATAGTTTTGTTAAATTTTTCTCTAAAACACTTAATTTTTTCTTTTTTAGACAAATAAAAAAAAGACAATATTGAATCAATTAAAAAAAACTGATATTTTACGTCTGGTTCCATCACTGCTTCCATCCGTCTTTGTGTGTCGTCTCTCACTGTGCGTGCATATGTGTTTTCTTTTCTCTTAGTCCTATATCCCTTTTGCTATTTAATATCCAATTGTCGAGGAATTTCAATTTAGCCCGGAGAACCTTTGTGCAATTTTCAAAGCCTTATCCATACAACATCCACGGATTCCTTAATTGTGGTCACAACTAATAAGGCTCTCATCCGTTATGCTCCATATATTTTTGACCGGAAAATTGCAAAAAATATTTTGTATATATACCTAATTATTAATCTTATTTTTTAATTCTCACTCTAGTAAAATATATCCTGTAAAGGTCACAATTTTGTACATTGATTTTCACTTTTATATTAAAATATTATTATATCTTTTTACATGTATAGTTAATATTACTCATGTAAAAAGTTTTAATCGGAAGAATGCATTTGAATTTTATTAGATCTAGTCACACCTCATTTGAGCAGAAGCAGAATAATATGAAAATACCTTTTTTTTTTAAAAATATCATTTCAAACTTTTACCATTCGATCTCTTGAATATTTATTTATCTTGCTTAGCTCCTTGTGTACATGCATCTACGTAAACTGTAACCATAATCCAAGCTCAGTAGGTGAACAGTTTCATAGAATAATTAATATAAGAAGAATATAAATTAATTAATAAAATAAAGTTGTAGATGGATATATAAGACATAGTCAATTAAGGGTGTGTTTGTTTGGGGGTTTGGATTTTGAGTTGGGATTTGAATAGTAAAAATTTTGAATTTGAATAATTGTATGATGTGATATAAATAAGTGTTGATGTGATGTTTTGAATGTAAAATTGATTTTTAGTATAATATAAAAAATGAAAAATAGGTGTTTGATTTGATGTTTTTGGGTGGAAAAAATTGGATAAATAGTGGAAATCCAATCCAATCCCCAAAACAATTATGTCAATTGATCCATTGGTCTATAACTTTGACCAAGAAGCATCCAAAAAAAACAATAAAAGGAATTAATATAAGTGTGTATCTTTAAAAATATAGAAGAACAAAAATATATGGATTTGTTTATTCATTATATATGATTAGGTGTAAATCAATACTAAGAACTCCAATTAATATATTAATTTTTACATTCAAAAGTTAATGAAAATACTCTACATTTTAGTTTTGAAAGTGCATGATGTTTATATATATATATATATATATATAATCTTTTTTAAAAAGTACTATATTATATGTAAGTCACTCACGGTTAAAATCTTGTGAGGCCTGTCCAGTAAGGGATGGTCTGGTGGTGTGGTTTGCCTAGTGTGACTTGTAAACTTGCTATCGTAAAATCATCTGTTCAAATTTTCGACACCTTGCCCGTAGAAACAACAAACAAACAAACAATGTAAAATAAATAATTATTTTGAGACATTATTTCTAGAGAGAAATTAATAGGTGAAGAAAATTTACTTCTACAGAGAGATTCATGGATTAATTAAGTCTAAACATATAAAAAGTATATTTTGAGACCTTATTGATATAAACCCATGAAAACATAAGGAGTATTACTTTGTTGCATATGTTTCCATTATAGAAATATATTTGTATTTGTTTCCTCATGGTTGGTTTTTGTTTCTATGTTTGATATTGTATTTTATTTTATCTTCTTTATTTAAATAGTGATTGTATATAAATTTTGTAAGACTTTTTTAGATATTTTTAAATGAAATAATTGTTGATATAATAATATGTAGGAAATATAAGTATTAGATATAATATTGTTTTAGTAAAATTAAAAGATTGCTAAAAGAACATATTGTGGAAAAAAAATAATAATAATAATAATTGGAAGGAATCGACCATGGACATATTGAAAAGGGAAATCATAACAATTACAATTGTAGTCGATAAAAGTTAGCATGATAATTGACACCACAAAAGACCCCTTAATCGTATAACAATACAATTAAGAAATCTAAAAATAAATATAAATATCGATACAATAAACTTAATAAAAATATGAAAGAATGTGTTAGTCGGATTATCCTTGCAACGAGATGGTTCCACCTTCGTTGAAGTAGTAACTCATCTTAGTAATTCTTGCGGGCGCGTCGGACGGGAATGCTTTGCTCATTTCTAAAATAGTTAGTCGGATCAATCATAGTCTTCACTTGAACCAATCTTTTGAAGTTGGATTTATAGTACCTCAATCCCCACTTACTAGCTTCTCTATAGCTAGTTTTGTCGCCGTTGTTGACTCCCAAATCAAGATCCCGATAGTTGAGGTAGCCCAAGCGAGGAGATTTCGAAACAAAAGGAGTTAAATAACCATAAAAGCTTCTTACCCACCTGAAGGATGCTTCGGATTCTTCAGGGCGTATCCAATGAGCCAGTTGTTGGAATTTGTAGAGGGTTCCAGCACGGTGAGGGAATGGAATTGCGGATTCTGGAATGTCACTCATTCTTCCACCATACGGAACCATCAAAAGTTCTGCCATGTCGGGAGCACGTTCCAGCAACAATTTCCACATACCTTCGATACCACTTTTTGGAATTGGCTTGTGTAGGTAATCAGTTTTTGCTTTAAAACTAAATCTTGTGGCTCGAATTGCGCTTGGAACTTCGGGATTTCTGCTGGTTAAGAGCTCCGGTGACTGTAGAACATTGTAACCTCCAAAGAAGAGCACAGCTTGAATATAGCTAACTTCAAGACAATCTTCCCTTCTCACACCTAACTCCGGAAAGCTTTGTTGCAACAACTCGAGCAATTGATCAATTCTTCCCAAAAACATGGAATTAAAGCTGGCTTGCACCGTTCTTTCTCCGGTGCTGGGGACAGTTATTGTACCAACATTGATTGCGAGTAGCATATCATTGGACATGAAAGGAGCCACGTATTGCCATTTGTGAACAAGCTCTGTTGCATTTTGTTGCAAAGTCCTGCTAACAGAAAATATTGTGACAGTCTCCGGTACCGTTACTAACTTGATCTTCCATGCGGTTATGACTCCGAAGCTCGCACCTCCGCCGCCTCGTATGGCCCAAAAAACATCTTCGCCCATGGACTTCCTATCGAGCATCCTCCCATTAGCGTCGACCATGCGTGCATCGACGATGTTATCGGCAGCAAGACCGTATTTTCTAAACAGTGGCCCATAGCCTCCTCCGCTGAAAAGCCCGCCAACTCCGACCGTGGGGCATGACCCTGCCGGAAATCCAATTGTCTTACTTTTTTGGCCTATAGCATAATACAACTGCCCGTTGGTGGCACCGGTTTGAACCCATCCGGTCATACGCTCGACGTCAATGTCTATATGATTGAGGTTGAACAAATCGACGATAACAAACGGCACTGGGGAGGTATACGAGAGTCCCTCGTAGTCATGGCCGCCGCTTCGAGTGCGGATTTGCATCCCATTTAGTTTGGCGCAAACGACAATGGCAGGAATGTGGGATTCGTGCAGGGGCGTGACGATGACCTGAGGTCGAGCAGCAGGAGCCAACATGAATCTGAGGTTGTGTATCGATTTTCGAAGAACCGACCAGTATGAAGAAGACGAAGAAGAAGAGCCGTTGGGAGTGTAAACTACATCGGAAATTCCATGGCTATGATTCTGCAGACGAAGGGACAGACATTGCAGAAATTCATTGTGATCGCCATGTCGGGATTCAGCAGAAATTGGGAAAGAAATTAAGAGCGCAGCTGCAACAAGTACTATCAATAGGGAAAATGATCTTGAACTAGTAGTAGTACTCATCATCTTCATGGTTATATATATATATATATATATATCTTAGGGCTTTAGGGTTTGTTTGTTTGTTGGAAAGTCGAAAGAAAGATATGATTGAGGATTAAGGAAATGATCGATGATGTGATTTTTTGATTCAAGATTCGTGTCTATTTATAAGTATCTTCCAACGCGTATACACACACTTAATTTCGTATAAATTCTTCAATTCAAGGTCGTCTTTCAAATTCAAAACCTAAATTATTAATTTGTAAGACCTTTTCTTTATTACAAAATCATATAAAAACGACAAATTTCTCTATCCATGTCGTGTGAAGAAACAGTCCACAATAATATATATTCAACTACTCGCCACACATTATTAATTAATTAGACCTTTTAATAATAATAAAACAATTCTGTATGGCAGCGCTGGTTTGCTTTTAATATTTTTCTTCTATTTGTTTTCATAATACAATATGGTCATAATTAGTCAACATCTATACATAGGAGCGCGTAGATAGAAAATTGAATTTAATCAACATGTTAGAATTAATTATTTGATTTAGTAATTCTTTTTGTTCCTCAGTTGTGGATTGACTTAGCCTTGGCTCTATTTATTTAATTTAATTTATTATTATTTTTAAAATAAGGTAAGAATCCACAGATATTATGTTCGAGTGTATCTTCGATACTTTTTGATCGAATCTAATAGCTAGTAAACTAAGCCGGTAAGATAAGTCACACTAGTTATATATATATATATATATTTATAAAAATGTTGTGCTTTTTTTTTTTTTTTTGTATTAGTATAATTTTTTTCTAAAAAAACCAAAAATCAATATTAGGCTCAATCACGTTCATTTTTTTTTCTTTTTTATGGTTTCATTCAAAATAGTTATCAAAACTAGTCTTATACAAAAAAATAAATTATTATTTTTGTTCTACCTTTGAAATTTCATCGAAACATGCTCAAATGACATCTACTTCGGATTAAACTAAGCGGTACGTGTTATATAGAACACATCTGCGTCTAATTCAGATAAAAAAAAAAAAAAAAAAAAAAAAAAAAAAACAGCCGTCTTATCATTATTAGATGAAATGTTTTCCATGTTAAATGAACAATTTACTTTTATTCCTAACAAATGAATTTCATAGAACTGTAGGAAAATGCAAAAAAAAAAATAAAAATAGCTGTCCTAAGTTTTCGATTTGTTCAGTTAATTTTATGTTGTTCTCAAATTTAAATATATATATATATATTTTAAATCATTATATCTAATATTTAATTTTCATTCAAAAAAAGTAGATTTAGGGCGTGTTTGGCAATTAGCTGATTCAATTAGCCGATAGTTGTTAGCTGATTCAATTAGCTTGTTTGACTAGCTGATTCGATTAGCTATTTGTATTAAAATGTTTGATAAAACAATTGTTTGATATTAGCTGTTTATACCTAAAATGACAATTGAGGACATTTCTATTTTATTTTATTTTTAATATATTCAATTGTGTTATTTTGAGTTTAGCATGTTTGAAATTTTTTGTTATTAGTTATTGAAAATTGTAAAAGTATTATAAAATACTCCCTCCATCAACGGATAAAGTATACATTTACTTTTGGCGCAGAGTTTAAAAAATAATAGTATGGTAGGTAAAAGTAGTGTAATGACATTTTTGCCCTTGCTTTTTGGTATAAAAGTAATAATATGACGTAAAATAAGGGTATTTGTAAAAAAAAAGTGGGTTATTTAATGAAATAGTTACTTTGTAATTTAACGTCCCAAAATAGAAATATGTATACTTTATAGCTGGACGAAGGGAGTAATATTTATTTTTATTATAGTTAGATTTAAAAAATAATATTTTTTTATTGAAAAATATAAATAGTTTTTTCTATTGAAAATGATGTAAAATATAAAATAATAAATTTTTTGGGTATATATTTATTATGTTAATTATCGATTAGTAAATTATATTTATAATTTTCAATAAATTTAATTTATTTTTAGTATAAAATTTATATAATGTAATTTTAATATAAAAATAAATTATTAATATTTCTATTTTCTATTTTGTGTTGATTTTAATAAATCTATATATTTTACAATTAAAATAATTTATATATAAAAATTTATTATTTTAAATTTATAAAAGTAAAACTATAATATAATAAAATATTAATAAATAATCAAAATATATTTATTTGTGTAAAATACATAATAAATTTTTAAGGATAAATAAGAAATAAAAAAATTTAAATTGAAAAAACTATTTCAAAATGCCGGGTAAATTACGTTTTCAGAAATTAGTTTTTTTTTTTGTCCAAAAAGCTATTCTAAAAAGTTAATTTATCAAATACCTAAATTAACGGTTTAATCGGTCAAACAGTTAAAAACGATTCAATAAGTAAAAAACCTCTTGATAATAATTCCATCTAAAAAATCAAGTAGAAAACATAAAGATCGAATAAACAAATACAATATATTAGTTTTAATTTAATAGTCAATTCAAAATGAGACACATACAATTTTATCCCAAGAAATAGAACTAAATAATATGCAATTGGTTGTTATATTTTAATATATTTGGTATCAATATATTCAAATGAGAAAATCATAAATACTCATTAGTTTACTTAAGCCATTAGCAACTATTACTATTCACACAAACGAAAAAGAAAATGAAATGGCTTCGTATATAAATTATACTTCGTCTCATAACAAAGTATCCATTTTTTCATTTTAGTCCGTCACATAACAAATTATTCATATCCTTTTTTAGTAACTGTACTGTTTACCTAAAATTACAAATACCCTTACAACTTACAATATACTACACAAATGTCATTACATTTATATCACACATACTAATAAGGTTATTTTAGTGATTTCTACTTTATTCTTACTATATCCCAATATAATACTAATATTTCTAATGTACAAAAAGCAAATTGATACTTCTTTATGGACGGAGGGAGTACTTCTTGCGTCTATACTAATTATTTCATTTTATTTGGACACAAAGACAATACTTTAATATATATGTAGGGTAATCAAACAAATAAAGTAAGGATACTATAAAATAAATTATTTGAAGAATTGACTAAAATATGATGTGATAAGTAAAAAAAGTAACGATAAATTGTTAATTATTTGTTAAAGTATGAATAATAAAATTATAAGTGAATAAAATTATTTATTATAAAGGCTAAATTGCATAATATTTATCCTTGGTTTCATAAAATTGCTCTAAATCCCCTATACTTTTAAAACTAAGTCAAATTTTCTCGTGGTTTCATAAACTCAGCATCTAACCTCATCGGCGGTCCTTATTTAACGGTATTTAACCTTAATGCGCTAAAACTTCGAATAAATTTTAGAATCTCAAGTTCTAAACTCCTAAAATTACAAATATATTTATTTTTCTTAGATTTAGCCTAAAAAAATAGTAAATATACTAAAAAATAGTTATTTTTCTTAGATTTTAAAAATTTATTTTTACTGTTTTTTTAGACTAAATTTGTGCAATGATATGTTTGAAATTTAGGTAAAAGTTAAGAGTATTTTGGTATTAATGAATAATTACTTTTACTAAAATAGAAAAGATTTACTTTAGAATTAAATAAACAAAAATTGTAAAAATAGTACTTTGAGTTGGACGACAGGAGTATTATTTAAACCAAATATCATATTCAAATAAAAACCAAATAAATAATAGTAAATAGTATATTTATACTATGAAGATGATAAATAATTTATTTATATAATATTTTAATTAAGTATATTTTAGAATATATAAGCATATTTTATATTATCTTAATTAATATCTATATAATAGAAAAGTATAAGCTATTATTTTAAGAGTTTCAATAGTTCAATAATATATAAATTGAATATGAAATATTACCATGTACTTGACTAACAAGGCCATGGTCTAGAAAATATATTCAATACCGTTTGAATACATATATTAATATATAAATAAATAGATAATATCTTGAGTCAAAAAATTTTTGTTTTTTTTTTATTAATAATGTGGAATTTTTCTGTCGTAATTCAACAAGTGCGTTCTATATAAATTCACGATTGAACCTAATAACCTGCAAACTAGATCCGACAAGACAAGTCGCACCAGATGAACCATGTATAGCAGCTAAAATTTGAAAGCGTTGAAAGTAGAACGGAGTCAATTCTTAGTTAGGTGGAATAATGATTTGGCAGTATGTTTAAATATATATATGTTTTTACTATACATTCACCACAAATTAGCTAAATCATATTAGTATTATTATTTCCGTCCGACTTTAAGGATATAAATTACTTATTGCATATTAATATTTGAATATTAATTATTATATCAAAATATAGTAAGAATTAAGAAAAAAAATTACAAAAAAACTTCCATTGTCGTCTTCCAATACTAATAAAAGGACATTCGTATAAAAAATTATATAAATATAAGGATATTTTTAATGTTAAATACAATGACGCAAAAGATAAATGTGATAGTTAAAGAGAGACGAAGGGAGTATTATTTTATTAATTTTTTTTCATACAAAATATTACACTATTTTACCCAAAAAAAAAAAAAAAAAATCAAAATACAAATTCAAAGTAAGCAATCCCTGAATCAATCTAGAAACTTATATATCTAAACACTCACTTGTGTTTAATAAAATTATATAGACAATTTGATAGTTTAGATAATAATCTAATCATGTGCAATGTACGTTTCTTATATAAAACAAAAATTTTATTTTTTTTATTATTTTTTTTTATGACGTGAAAACTCGCGGTTACTACCCGAAAATGCGCACTAGATAAACCCCTGGTCAAACTTAATACCATGAAAACAAAAACTTTACTCTTTTGTCGTAGAATTGCCACATGAGTAAAAAATAATAATAAAAAAAATTATTACCGAAAAAGAACTTTCTCTCTCCTAGACATGAAAGAGAGAGAATTTGTATTTTTTTTAAATATATATTTTTTCTGTCCCGGTGTAAGGTTGTCGTTTATTTTTCGCATGTAGATTTTGTAGTATTAGTATTACAATGGGTTGAGGTGAAAAAGACAAAAATACCCCTATTAGTATCGTGTAATATAAAAATAGTGATATTTGTGTAATATAGTGTAAATTAGAAGCGTATATATTATGTTAGGTAGGTAATACAATTACTAAATTAGAAAATAGTAACCTTATTTTGGATCGGACGAAAATGAAAAGTGGCAACCTTTCAATGGGATGGGGGAGTATTACTTCTATGTTTGTTTGTAAAGGTTATATTTATCTTTTACGTTATTGTAGTTAACATTAAAAATATTATTATATCTGTATATATATTTTTACAAACGTCTTTTCTATTAGTATTATAGACACTAATAGAAATATTTTTGTCATTTTTTTATTTGTACTACGTTTTAATATAATAATTAATATTAAAAAATTAATACGCAACAAGTAAATGTAGTTCTTAGAAACAGACGAATGGAGTATTAATTATAATTATATTTTATTTATTATTTATAATTTTAAGTAATACTAATATTTTTATGTTATAAATTAATTATAGTTTTTAAATAAAATTTATATAGTGAATTTATATATTTTATTAGTAATTTTGTAAAATATAATTATATATATAAATATTAACTAAATATAGATATTACAATATATATATATATTATATTAAATAAAAGAATAAATTTGTTAATATAAAGAGAGAAAACTATAAAACAATTCTTATGGTTTTGCATGGTGAATGGTCTTAGAACTTTTTAATTAGGCTAAATAATTAAATCCAACGTTCTATTTATATATAAAATCATTGTGAGAAATTTTAGACATAACATATATCTAATAATTTAGCTAAAGATCATACTAGTTTTAATTTAACATTGAAATAACTAGATTAGTGAATAACTTTAGAGATAACTACTTTAAGAATATATTATCAATACTAAAAAAAATAAAAATTGTCATCGCTAAAAAATATTTTATATTGACTCATCGAGCGAGATATTCGGTGGTTCTCCCGCCTTTTAAAAAAAGATTTTTTAGTCGTATTTAAAAAGATAGCTAAATGTAATAAAATGAAAAATAAAATACGAAAGCAATTTAAAAAAAGAAAAAGCCAATAAAGAAGGTAAAGAAAATTAATACAAGAAAAAGAAATTGATAGAAGTTGAATTGATCCTATCCTTTAGGACACCTAAATATATATATATATATGTCAAGTTTACCCAGAGGGCAGCCGAATAGTAGGGATTGCAGATTTTTGTATTAAAAAAAATAATAAAAAAATTTTATATCCAATTTTGTTATGTTATTTTATATATTTCCAAAATTCTCATTATCCTAACAACCTCTCCAAGCATCAAGGCTTTTCCATTCTTTGGGTCCGAATATCTTTATTTCAAATAATATTTTGGGATAATAAAAACAATGACTTTAAAAGACAAAAATATTTTGAGTTTCCTTTAAATATTTATATGAAGTATATGAGCGTTGGATGTAATATATATAAATATATCCTCCCTCATTACAGGAAGAAGAGTGTCATTTACTTTTTATACGTATAGATATATTATAAATTGTAAAAATATTTATTATTTTTGATAATATGTATAATTATTAAATTAAAAAATAGAAATCATTTTTTTTGAAACGGAAATAAATTAAAAATGGTTTCTTATAGAACGGATAAAGTATATTATTTTTTAGCAAAAGTAAAAATATAATTGAATAAAACAAAGCATGGTAAAAAAAAAATCTCATAGAATAGGTCGTGGATATAATAAAAAAAGACAATATTATATCAATTACAATTATAATCATAACTTTGTGATGATTCAACTACATATAAACCATACAACAATACAATTAAGAAATATAAATCTAAACTCTAAATATCAGTACAACAATAATCTTAATAAAAACATGAATGAATTGTTCATAGTTGCTATGAAATTTCTTCAACAAGTACTGGTAGAATCTCCATTGAAATAACTCTTACAAACTCTTGCGGGCATGTCCGACAGGAATACTTTGCTCATTTCTAAAATAGTTAGTCGGATCAATCATGGTCTTTACTTGAACCAATCTTTTAAAATTTGATTTGTAGTACCTCAATCCCCATCGACTAGCTTCTCTATAGCTAGTTTTGTCTCCATTGTTGACTCCCAAATCAAGATCCCGATAATTGAGGTATGCCAGACGAGGAGATTTCGAAACAAAAGGAGTCAAGTAATTGTAAAAGTTTCTTACCCAGCTAAAGGATGGTTTAGATTGTTCAGGGCGTGTCCAATGAGCAATTTGTTGGAATTTGTAGAGGGTTCCAGCTCGATGAGGGAATGGAATTTCGGATTCTGATATTTCATTCATTCTTCCTCCGTATGGAACCATCAAAAGTTCTGCCATGTCGGGTGCACGTTCCAGCAACAATTTCCACATGCCTTCGATACCATATTTTGGAATTGGCTTGAGCAAATAATCAGTTTTCGATTTAAAACTAAACCTTGTGGCTCGAATTGCGCTTGGAATTTCAGGATTTCTGCTGGTTAAAAGCTCTGGTGATTGTTGAACATTGTAACCTCCAAAGAAGAGCACAGCTTGAATATAGCTAACTTCAAGACAATCTTCCCTTCTCACGCCTAACTCCGGAAAGCTTTGTTGCAACAACTCGAGCAATCCATCAATTCTTCCCAAAAACATCGAGTTAAAGTTGGCTTGCACTGTTCTTTCTCCGGTGCTCGAGATAGTTACAGGACCAACATTGATTGAAAGTAACATATCTTTCGGCATATAAGGAGCCACGTATTGCCATTTGTGGACGAGCTCTGTTGCATTTTGCTGCAAAGTCCTGCTAACAGAAAATATTGTTACAGTCTCTGGTACCGTCACCAATTTGATCTTCCATGCAGTTATGATGCCAAAGCTCGCACCACCACCGCCTCGTATGGCCCAAAAAACATCTTCGCCCATGGATTTTCTATCGAGAATCCTCCCATTTACATCAACCATGTGTGCATCGACGATGTTATCAGCGGCAAGACCGTATTTTCTAAACAGCGGCCCATAGCCTCCTCCGCTAAAGAGCCCGCCAACGCCGACCGTGGGGCATGACCCCGCCGGGAAACCAATTGTATTACTTGTTTGGCCTAATGCATAATACAATTGCCCGTTGGTCGCACCGGTTTGAACCCATGCTGTCATTTGTGCGACATCAATAGCTATGTCGTTGAGGTTGAACAAATCGACGATAACAAACGGCACTGGGGAGGTATACGAGAGTCCCTCGTAGTCATGCCCGCCGCTTCGAGTCCGGATTTGCATGCCATTTTGTTTCGCGCAAACGACAATGGCAGGAATCTGAGATTCTTGCAGCGGCGTGACGATCACCTGCGGTCGAGCAGTAGCAGCCAACATGAACCTTAGGTTGTTTATGGATTTTCGAAGAATCGACCAATACGACGACTCATTCGGAGTGTAAACAACATCGGAAATTCCATGGCTATGATTTTGCAAACGAAGGGACAGACATTGCAGAAATTCATTGTGATCGCCATTTCGAGATTCAGCAGAAATTGGGAAAGAAATTAAAAGAACAGCTGCAAGAAATATGATCAGGGAAAAGTTCGAAAATCTTGAAGAACTGATCTTCATCATCATCATCATCGATAATTATTAATATGTTTAATCTGTTCGATCGAATGATATGATCTGATGTGGTGTGGGACTCTTAGGACATCACCTCATCTATATTTATAGTGACAAAAAACACAATGTAGAATTTCACGACATAAGCGTAGTCGAATTTTTGAGGTCAAAGTCTTCGTAGCGTTGTAGAAAACCCTAATTTTATGACTCTGACCTATTCAGACATCTCCTCTTTCCATTACCTTATGGTCATACACGAATATACTGTTTCTCATTCAAAGTCTTTAGTGATGTTATTAATAGAAATCGTCTATAACTAAAATTTCAAAATAATAATAATAATAATAATAATAGTTTAACTCCATCGGGATTACAAATTTGATGCAGTCAACGGTGTTTTTTAGTACAATTAATTTAATGAATGACCATATAATTTGGATGTCGTTAGAAAATATACAACTTTGATAGCATCATCTTTGCATTTTTTTTTTTTATTTTTTATTTTATGACGTGGCAACCCGCAACTGTTACCCGAAAGTACGCACTGGGTAAACCTCCGGTCGAACCTAATACCCTGCAAACCAGGTTTGACGGGAAAGTCATACTAGTCGAACCATGTGTGGCTGGCAGGTGACCAGAGACGTCCGAGGTTTGAACATAATCATCTTTGCATCTTTGTTTTAAGTTATATTAGCTAATGAATTACAATTTTAATTAATCATCATCTTGTTAAATTGCTAGCTTTTAACCGGTAACTGATTTAATTATTAATAGTTGTTCCCGGATTCGATTAAGTTGTTTGAGTAGCTGAATATATTTACTAAATGGGCTAAAATGTTTGGTAAAATAGTTATTTATACGATAAAATAACAATTAAGAATATTTAATATCTTATTTTTAAAATATTTAGTTGCATTATTTCGGTGTATAGAATATTTTAAAAAATTTTATTACCCATTATTGAAAATTTTGTTAAAATATTTGCTTTTATTATTATTTTTTAATATTTTTTAAAAAAATTAATGTATTTTTATTGAAACATATGAGTATATTTTTACTAAAACAATCTAAAAGAAAAAAATAACAAATTATTTGTATATATATTTTTATTAGGTTAATTTTTAATTAATTTTTTTTTTTTTATCAAATTTATAATTTTAAATAAATTTATTCTAATATATTTGTTTTTAATAAAAAAATGTGAAAAAAAAATATATATAAATAAATTCTTAATATTAATATGTTGCTTTTGCTTTTATTTAATAAACTTAAAAAATTTTACAAATAAAATTACTTGCATATAAAAAAATAATAATAATTTCAATTACTGTAAACTTATAAAAATAAATTTATAAATTATTAGAAGAAATATATTAAAATAATTAATAAATATTGCAATAAAAATATATTAATGTATATGAAATAGATATTTAATTCAAAAGACTAATTTACTAAATATTTAAATTAATTTTTTCACTCACCAAACAGCTAAAAAGATTTCAAAAATTTAAAAGGTTCTTCAAAAAATATATTTTTCAAACACCTTAATCTAGTAGACAAGAACAACAGCAGGTTCGGAATTGATTTTGCAGAACTTGCTCCCACGCCTAAGCACCAAATAAACATACCGAGTTCAAGATTGACCGATAAAATTGTTTTTTCAAAATCATGTATAATTTTTTGTTTCAATTTTTTCATCTATATAATTCGTACAATATAATACTCCCTTTGTCTCGGGTAAGATGACCCTATAGTTAGGATCCGGTATTTTTAGACCGTGATGGGGTTTATATTTTTAAAATAAAAATCAATATATATGATTAAAAGAAATAAAAAGATTTTGAAAGAGTTCACTGTGTAAGATGTTTGAAATTTATTAATTAATTTATACTTGTTTAAAATTGTTAAATTTATCAGAGATTATCTTATGTGATACGGATTAAAAAAATATATATATTATATATGGCGGGACATAAGAAGTATTAAAAAAAAAATTAAACATTAAACATAGAAGAGGTCTAATTGCATATATAAAACAATAAAACATTAAATCAATAAAAAAGTAAATCTTATTATATGCAATACATTGTGCGTATAAGTTTAGAATTTATATTTATTTAGGGATGGCGGTGGAAACAAGGTGTTGAATAGTGAATTGGATTGGAATGTGCAACTACAAAAGATGAAATTGTGTGAAATTTTCAAAATAGATATCAACGAAATCTAATACTCCTCTTCGTCATTTAAATTTATTTTTATTTTTCTTTTTTGTTGTCATTCAAATTTATTCTCATTTTATTTTTAAGTAAAAAAATACCATTTTTCTTTACAAAAAAAGTAAAAATTTCTATTCTTACATATTTTTCTTAAAACACGTGCATGATCAAATGAGTACACATGACGAATGGAGTATTAATATAGAATTGGAAATCTCCACAATATATATATATATAATTATATAATTACATGATTTAGTTCCACTACTTTTATTAAACGTGTTGTTCAAACCTAAAGGCATCACAAGTTTCATCTACACTCAAGGTGTAAGGACATGGGATCTTTTATCCTTGAAATTTTTTCCAAATAGTCTTTACAAGATTAGGGTGAATCGAACCCAAATGTATATGTAGTAGTTAAAACGGTAAAGTAACAAGCAAGTAGATAAACTGGAGGTCATGAGTTCAAATCTCGACGCCTTCGGGCCTTGCCTGCTACGTATGACTCGTCTAGTGTGATTTGACTTGTCGGACTTAATTTGCAGATTATTAGATCCGGTCATATTTATAGATCTATAAGGATCTAAACTGTTCTTTTATAGATCCAAATCAAACAACACAAATTTGTTTTAGAACATTTACAAAAAAACTTGCAAGTTTTATGATTCCACTTATTTTTATAAGATAAAATCATTTTGACCACGACGAAACAATTTTATCAAACTATAAAACGATTTCAACTCAAGATTCAACCCGCTACACTGAATCAGTAGGGGTTGAATACAACTAAAAAAGTTTCATAGTTTGTTTTTAACAAGAAAGTTTAAGGAAAATTACTTTCGCTAAAATAAAAAATGTTTTGTTCAAATAAACCATTAGCACGCTTATTCAGCCAAACCACACTAGATTAGTAGTAGTTGAGAAGCCGTCAGGGGTGATCTGGTGGTGTGGAGATGAACTCGCGTCCGTGAGGTAAGAGGTTCAAACCGCCGGCACCTCAGGTCTAACTGTTACACATGGTTTGTCTAGTTTGACTTGCCTTGTTGGACCTAGCTTGCAAGGTATTAGGTTTGATCGAAAGTTTATTCAAAGCACACTCGACAAGTAGCGACTGCATATTGTAATGTAATTCACTCGAAAGGTTGAGAAAAAAAAACAAATATTGTAACTTGGCTGATTTAGCCAAGTTTAGCTCATTTCAACCATATTCTCAAGTTGCAAGGGCTATTTACAATAGAACATTTTAGATTCAAGCAAAATAACAACAAACAAAATTGAATTAAACAAAAACAGTAAATAGGTATGACCTAAATATTAGATAGATTATATATACGGCATGTGAAAAGTAGACTCACACGAAATAAATTAGAAATACTCAAAAATTGCATTACTATTCATCAAAGAAAATAAAGATCTATAAATATGTATGACATACAGGCTAGATAGACTCAAACCATAACAACCAAACCTAATTGATCAAACCAAAATATAAAATAACTAAATTCAATCTAAAACTAAATAACTAAAATATCTCAACAAATTTAAATTTAAATGTTTTACAAGATTTACATATTTCCGATTTCCAAAGCGAAATGAATATCATCATATAATAGAATTACAATATATATATATATATATACATATATGTATAACTATATATGCCCCTAATGGGCTATGTACAATATATACAAACACAAGCAAAAAAACTACTTATTTATAGCAAGACAACATCCATTAAAGGATGTCGAAAAAAGAAAAAAAGAAAAAAAATATTAAGTGAAAGCTCTATACTAATGTAAAAAATTGTAGAATCAATATTTAATTTTTCTTTTAAATACACAAGTAAAAGTAAAAAAATTAATGATTTTTTTTCATTCAACCCGAAAAATACAGTCAGTTAACAAAATGTTGAGGCTCATGCCCCCAACACCCAAATACAAACAAAAATCCGCACAAACAATACGAATCAATCTAAAAACCGTGACAACTCACATCTAATAGCCCCTATCCTCTCACAAAATTGAAAAGAAACCTTGCACTATTGAAAAGGGCCTCAAAATTTTTGAAATTTTATTATATATACTATGTTTTTAATTAAAAAAGCTCAAAATAACAAGTTTAAGAATATATTTTAATTTCTAAAGATCTAATTTCAAACTCATTCTAATGCAAATGGATTTAAGTTTGTTTCTAAATAAACAAATTAAAAAAAGAAGAAATTTGAAGGAAGCCTTTACATTTCATTAGATCAAAATCCATCAAAACAAACTTAGTTCATTAATTTTGTTTTCTTTTAAATCTTTTAGTATTAATTTCTACTTCCTTCGTCTCACATAATTTATCTCTATTTTCTATTTTCGTTCATTTTATATAATTAGTCATTTTATTTTTTGAAAATATCATTATACACTTTAATCACATTTTAAATTTTATATTTTATAAGTTTTTTAATATTAATTAAACTATTTAGTTTTCTTAATCTTAATTTATAATTATTTTCAATAATTATTTTTACTAATACACTTCTTAATTACTTATTAATTATATTTTACCTAAATTTTTGTATTTACAGTAATAGACGGACAAGGAGAGAGTACTAAATATAAATATTGAATGTAATATTTTTTAATAAATTCTAATTGTTAAATAATAAAAGCATGGTAAAAATGAATATATTGAAATTAGAAATTATATTTATTACAATTATAAATGATGACTTCGTTAAATATGATGATGGACACCAGATATCAACACTAACCCATGTAAAAATACAATAAAAAACATTAAATCTAAATTTAAATCCATATATAAATATTAGTGAATAATCTTAATTTAAACAAATATGA